GTGTGCCCACACTGGGGATGGCCCCAGCATTAGCCTGGATGTTGTCCTGTTGGCATGGTGGATGTCTCACATCAGTACAGTCCCTGGAGCTGCTGTGGGTGGGCGAGAGCTGTGGTGAGCGGGTGGGTGCCAGCCCACACTGTTGCTGTTACCTAATGAGCATTCAAACTTTATACCAAACCTGGAGCAAGGAGCACGTTGGGTCCGTGTTGAGACTCTCTGTGGGGGATATGGGGCAGGTCATGTGCCAGTGGTGCAGCCTGGGGTGCTGGGTATGTGTCCAAGAGGACTCTGGAGTGAGGCTGGCAGGACCCATGGGCTGGAGTGTCTCAGGGCCACTGCCATGGCCATTCCTGTGCAGAAGGAACCTGTGGGCTGTGCCCTGGGATGTGACTGGGCCCTTAGGGACACTGCTGCCCTGCTGCCTCACACTGGAGGAGCCCAGGGATGGCAGGAGGTGGGGGCCAGCCCACGGGTTGGTGTCACCTGTGGCACTTGGGGTTTCACCTCCTGGTCAGCCAGGAGCGCCGCGTCTGCTGGGGAATTGCAGACGGTGAATCACTGCTGCACACTGGCTCCCAGGATCATGAACATGAGTCAACTGGCAGGAGGCTGGCTCTCTTCAAAGGACCAGGCTGCTCCAAACAGTTGTAGGGTCTGTCTTGGGGCTGCCACCGTGAGTGGGTGGCTGCACTGTCCCAGCTTTGTCCTTCTGCCCTCAGGTGCTCATGGGCTCCATGTTGAAGTATGGGGGAGAGGACATCTCTTGCCCTGGCCGCAGGGTGTGGAGCTGGTCTGTGACCCTGCTCACGCAGGCAGCCTGCCCAGTGGTGCGGCAGCCACTGGCAGTGCAACTGCTCTGGCTGCGTGGGCCATGGTGGTGGGACGGGTGTGTGGCAGGGAGCCCTTCTCTCCATGCCCAGGACCGGGGACCAGCCTGCCTGCCCACATTTCCCTGTGCTGTGGGGACCATCTCTACCCAGCCATTTGCCCAGCACTGTGTCCTTTGGCTCCTGGTCCCTGTGTCCCGGCTCCTCTCCGCTTTGGGCCTTTACTCAGGGCTGTGCCTCTCCGGCAGCGCCGTCCTCACTGCTGCTCCATTTCCAGCCTGATTTATTTCTGCTGCTCTGCAGCTCAGCTGTTTTCCTCACTATTAAGCCAACTCTGTTTCTTCTGCACTAGGTCATTAATACAGTGAGTGGCAGTGGCCCCATCTTGGCAGCTCTGTGGGTCCTGCACTGCTGTGGGTGGCTCTGCTGCCCCGGGCACCAACTGCCCTTGGTGGCGGCACTGCCGGACACCTTCCTGCCCTGTGGCCCCCACTCCTGTGGTGCGTGTCTGGGAGCAG